ATTAAATATTAGAAAAATAAATTATAAGAGTATGCCCTTAATAATAAATAATTAAAAAATTAAGACCATAATAATAAATATTGAGAAAAATAAATTTATTAAAGTAATTGGGCATAATAACTAGCATAAAATTATTTTTATATAAGTACAATGAAATATAAAAATTCTAGGTATTAGGTAGGTGTCTCTCCTGTCCAGGCCCAAATACGACTTTAGGTGGATGTTGAAACAATAGCAATCGATTCATTCTGATGCATGATCTTTGAAAATTTCATTGGCTATTTATAATTGAAGTAAACAAATTTCTCAAATTACATTCAGTCAAAACTTAGCTTAACGAACTCTGATTTCTTGAATATCTAATATACAATTGTACAAAAACAATTAGAAAATAAAAAATTTATGTGAAAGAAACTGAACAGACTCAAATTATATGTATAAAATTAATATTTTCATATTATAAATATTATTTATAAAATTATGTTATTAAATAATTTAACTAATATCAATTGTAATATATTATAAAACTATTGTGGTTAAAATTATAATTAGGTTTTAAGTTAATTTAGTGGTTAGATGTTAACTTTTTATCTAATAATTCTTGGTTCAAATCTCCTTAAATGCATTTGATATATTTTTTCGATTACCTTCTAATAAAAGAATGTTGTTTCGGACATTAAAATAGTGAAACCTAAATGATAACATTTTGTTAGAACATCTATATCGGCAATTCTCATTATGTCATCAATCCATATTGCCCATATCGTTTTAAAGCATCAAATCTAAACTGTAGTTTCGACATATATTTAGAAGAAAGTTCTAGAATATATATGTTAAGTTCGACACACTCAAGATAAAAAAAAAATGAGCAAGAATATTAGGTATTGTTAGATAGGCTTAAATATTACCAAAAAATTGTATTTAGTATTAAGTCAAGTGCGTTTTCAATTAAAGGACTCGTGAGATGTCATTGTAATATTTCAAAAGAACTAATCACACTATCTACTTTCATGTTATCTAAACAAAAATGTGTTCAAAACTTTCATGACATTCTAAGATATTCAACGAAACGCTAGGTATTAAACATAAAATTCAACATATTCGAACTAAAGCATACCAAAATTCAAACATATGAACAAACAAGGGAAATTTTGATTTGATTTCATTCCCCTTACTTAAAGAGTATTGTCCTAATACAAAATAAATAAAGTAAAGGAGAAGAGATAAAATTACTCCACATGTCTAGTGTTGGTGGGTTGTTCAATGGTATAGGAACATTAACCTTTATTTGAATCAATGTAATGTTCATAATTCTGATCTCGGTCAGAAAATACCTGGTGTACCTTAAAAATATAAAGAAAAATAAATAACCAAAAAATAAATAAAAAAATAATAAAATGAGTTGCCTTCCATTAAAGTGCTTTTGTTTAATGTCGTTAGTTCAACGACCTGGTTTAGACTATAAGTTCCGTAAGAGATACTTCCTCCACTTCATTCGTTTTTTTCCAACTGAGAATTTCCTTATGAGAAATTCTATGATTCTCATAGGTATTTTTTAGAGCTTTTTCAACTTGGTCGAAATAATAACCGATAATGTGTCTCATTCACCCAAAATCGTGTACTTCAAATGTTCTAGAAATGGTTTCAACTCTAATTTTGTTGCCTGCAAAATAGATGGAAAAATTTTAGATTGAGAAGACTTTAAGAGCAAATCTAAATCAACGTTAGAAATTCTAACTCTTGACACATCAACTTCATCATTCAAGTATTTGCGCAATTCATTAGAAACATTATGCTTAATAAATGGTTCAATAACATTGATAAAGTTAACTTTTACCATAGAATTAAGGTATTTCATGGTCTTGTAAATATCAAACTTCAATATTTCACCATCAAACTCCATGGTGAATATTCCACTTTGAACATCGATCTTTTTTGTGTCGTACTCAAAAACGATCTCCCGAGCAAAATTTCAGAAGAATTTTTGGATCAATCATCCTTCATATCGATGACATAGAAGGCGGCTGGAAATATCAATTTATTACTTTTACAAAAACATTTTCCAACACTCCTTCTAGATATACCACCGATCTGTCAGCAAGTTAAATAGTCACCATTGTCTCTTTCAAAGAACACGTGTTAACCAACATAAAAATAGATAAACGCATAAGGTTAATCGAAACTCCAAAATCAAACATGGACCTTTTAATACAACCTTATCAATTTTGCAAGGAATTGCAAACAACGTCCTATTCTTTCAATAGAAGTAGTTGACACCATTGAATGAGGGAGACCTTGAGATGGAGTGGAAATCTTCAAGGTAATACGAGCCAAAAGTTGAAGTCATCTTTTTCGATTAAATTGAGAATGATAGAGAACTTCTAAGATCTTCACAAGTTTCTTAAATCGTCAATTGTGATCCGCTCTGATACCAATTGTTATGATTATTGAAACTCTATGATCAATAGAAAATGTGTCAAAAGGGGGTGAATTTTCCTTTGGAAAATTTTAGGCGTTGAAGAAAAAAGATAGATAATTTAACACAATGATTTATTGTGATTCGACTTTATCAACCAAAGTCTACATCCACTACCTTGGCTTCACACTATGGATTTCTAATAAATTCACTATTTTTTCCTTTCTTTTTCTATGCTAAAGAGTAACATTTATAAATCTATATCTTTTTAAATATTAAGATAGAACCACTTTACTTTTACAAAATTATAAATTTAGTAAACATGAAAATCTCACAAGGTAGGTGTTTACAAATTTAAGCTCACAAGAATGTACTAAATATTTGCAATTAAACTCAAAACACTATGTACAAGAGAAAATAGAAAATAAAGAGTGAAAAGACTTTTCTCTTGATTTCTTTTGTTTGGATAGGTGTAGTAACCTTTTTTAAGTGTTCTTGTATTATTTTTATATGTTAGAATGAGCTTGTGGCCGTTTCTAGTTGTTGGGGTTGATTTGGAGCCGTTGGAGAATTAATTTCTAAAAAACAAACTACCCAACAAAAGGAGTATCATTATCGTCTTTAGGAGTATCAATACTTCTTTTGTTATATTTAAAAATCTAGCTGTTATTCAACTGTTGAGCTTGATAAGTATCAATGCTTGTAAAGTAGTATCGTTATTCCCAACCCCCGATAATAAGTTATTCCCAACAGTGGTATTTTGGGGGTATATTATCGAGAATGTGATTACCCTATTCCCTTAGGTATTGTTACATTCCCAGTGTTTTGGACTAAAATACCCTTATTTTTTTTCAAAAATATCATTCTTCTTTTGTTGAATAAAAAAAATTCTACAAATGTTAAATTACAAATTTATCCTTAAACTATTTTAGATTTATAAAAAAAATCCATAATTAGAATTTTATATGAAGATCAGGGGTTAAAATAAAATTTTACCCTTTCATTAAACCTATTTATCTTTTCAATTTTATAAAAAAATTATATAAATTTTATGAATTTAAATTTTTTAAAGAAAATATATAAATTAAGTATAGTAAAATTATAGTAGAATTCAACTTGTTAAAAAACAAATATATAATAAGGACAATTTGGTAAAATATACATTTCAATAATCTTTTATTCATTTAACCAAACATTGTAATCTTACATTCTTGCTAAACGAACCAGACACAACAATGCAACATTCCCAGTAATCTTATTCCCTCCGGTAATCCTATTACCGCCGGTAATCTTACATTCCGTGAACCAAACGCACCCCTAAAGTATTAGTACAAATTTACATTCTGAAATTTGAACAACTTGAAAAACAAAGGATAGTGTCGATACTACATGAAAATATCGATATTTCTCTTACTTTTGACATCGGTACTGCAAGAACAATATCGATATTATTCATACAATATCGATATTGTAGGAACACTACTACTTAACCATAAAAATATTTTATGTTCAAATTCTTGTTTTATGAACTTTAAATTATTTTTGAAATCTTTAAAAAAATAATTAAGTCAAAAACTTTAATCTTTATTTATTATATCAAAATATAAGTTCAACATAAATAACTGTAATTTTAAATATATCCTCTATTTTAATATATCTGAATGCTTATATTTGCGCAAATAAAAACTCTAGCTGTCACTGTCTTCATCACCTATACCTAGACTTCTCTTAACAATTATTGATGAAACAATGGTGGATTTAAAGTCTATTGAAATCCCATATTTAAACCCTTTTGCTTCTCCGCCATTTTTGACTCCACCTCTAGCTTCAACCAATGCTTGTTTCAGTCGCTTATTTGGATTTAACCCTTTGTTCGGATCACGAAGTGATGCAAATTTTAATAGGTCAAGTTCTTCACATTCATGAAAGAAGTAAAACTGAAGCTTCATGGGAAAACATTGATGGAAGATATTCGCAACCATGGCAGGTTGAAGATTTCTTCAAAAGATTCAGAGACGAAGAAGATTGTAGCTCCTCGACATTTTGAATCGATTTTTTAAGTTCGATTATCGAAAAATATTTTTGAGGATTAATTTTAACATTGGAATGTTTCTAAGGACTAAAGTTCGATTGAAATAATGATTTTGATTCGAAATCCAATTTGAAACTGGAAAGTGATAATAGTAAGTTCAAGAACTAAATTGAAAAGAAGGGGATTATTGAAGCATTGCATGAATGATTAAACCAAGTGTTCACTATTCAAATTCATTCAATTAAGTGGTGGAAGGGGAAAGATTCAAACCTAGAACATGAGTAGCAATGTCACTTAACCACTAGGACAGTGAGACTATCAACAATTAATTTGATTTATCTAATAAAAAAATCGATATGAATGCTCGATTCCAAACTCAATTATTTATGCTCAAGTATAAATAGAAAACTCCCAATATTAATCAATAATAAAAAATTGTATCGACAATAAGAAAGTTGGAACTATTCAAGCTCTACCTTTTTTTGAGTCGAATCCGAATAGCTTACGAGTACAAGTATCTCGATGACACCGTTCTCGGATTGCTCGAAAGGGTTCTTACCAGTGCACATATCAAAAATACCATTTGAGTAGTATTTAACAGATTTGAGTTGAAACATAGTTTACATGAAAGAGTCTAAAACAAAATCAGTTCAGGGAGATTGTCAAGAGCCAACATGAAAACTCCCCCCATCATAAACATCATAACGAAAGCTAACAAAACCTTTGCAATGTAAACAAAATTGATTCCTGGTTTCGAAAGGGTCTTAGTAGAATGAGACCCATCGATGTTCTGTCAAAGTAAAAACAAATCAGCAAAACGATCCGAATTCTTCATTTTTCATAATATAATCATGTTCGACATCTATGATCAACATATATTCGGACATGTATGAACCAGGAGCAACTGAATTAGGAAGGTTTCGATTTGGCACTCACTTTTTCACAAAACTTAATCTATGCCAGGACATTGCTACTTTAATTCGGAACTAGTCTTATAGATGTAGCCATGTCGGTATGCAACTGATGGTGTAAAGCTAACCGGTAACCCGATAGCTGGGGAGGGCCGTAATTCTTACCTAGATTGCCTCCTAGAGATAGAATGAAATGGGTTTTATGTTTTACTTATGAGCTGCAAAGAATTTTATTTTTTCTTTCTATTGAAAGCATATAATTGAATCGTTCTGCAAATGATTCGATTTTAGTTCTACTGAAAACCTCTTTAACTACATACACTAATGGAAATGCTAGAGTAAGTCATTACCTTTCCATTAGGGATTGGTGTTGGAACCTCCCGGATGCGTTCTGGCATGCCGATTCCTAATTCGAAATCGGTAAACAAGGATGTAAGACAATTAGAACCTACATAATCCTAATTCCCAGCATTCAAAAGAATCAAAACCATGATGAGATTTCATTTCAATTACCAGAAAAATCCATATCAGAAACAGTTTGCAAAATCCAACCATTGCCATAATTCACAAGAACGGCATCGGGGCCAAAAACAATAGGCTCCCCTTCTTTAACCGATTCAATATACAAGGCAACCGGAGCTTCGATACCCAACTTTCTATTTATCAACGATACCGCAAAACCGGCCTTAGTTCCGGCTGCAAACCGGGTTTTCTTGCCGGAAATTTTGCATAAAACCTCAAAATACTACAGATTCAAACACATAAACAAATGAAGAATCGGTTTGACTGCTTCCCAAAAAGTAAAATGACATGAAAATCGTATTTTCAATAGAACATATAGTAAGAATTAAACCCATCAATGAATCAGCATTAAAATTCATAATTTCAATTGATTTCAGAACATAAACATATAAATACATGAAAAAGAAGATATATACACAATTTTATAGAGGTAAAGAGATAGTTACTGGATGCGGCTGAGGAGAATTGACTTCTTCAGCTTCTGACATGGGAATTGGAGGAAGGAAGAAGACAGAGCTGCAAACGAGTTGACATCGATTCTGAATTAGATTTGTCGACAATACAGGGTTGAATTAAGCCCATTAAATCTGGAATCTAGCCCAATAGCCTTTACCCATCAATTCTTCCTCGAGAAATCCAAGCCCGAAACTGTGGAATACTCTAATCCTCTCTCATGTTTTTCACTGTTTACCTGTAAATCACCTTTTTTAAGATCGAAACTGCAAATCCACTAAACACATGCAAAGCTAAAGATCCCATGATTCCTAGTATTAGTAACTATTAATGACATCAGCTCGATCGGGTTTGTAAATTTTTTGAATAATAAATGATAATTGGCTTAAATATAAAATAATTGTCTAAACTATACATTTTTCACTCATTGATGTCTAAATTATTTTTTGAATCATTCATATACTTAAACGTTATAATTTTAGGTCTCATTTTACGACTGTTAAAAAAACTCTTAAGTGACACATGTCATAATATGATGATTTTACAAATTTATTAAAAAAAATTAAAACTTTTACTTTTTGGATATAAAACAAGTTACACTTAAACACCCAAAAGATGGATATGGATAAAGCCCCTGATCGATCATCGTTGATGCACTTGTTTAAGTAGCAATATCACAATGAAGCATGCACATCCAAAATATTTGCTTTCAAGCACCCCCATTCCCATTAAGAAGCGAAGACTTCGGTCATTATCTATTCATATTTTATAACTCAAATTTAACTATTTTTTTAAGTCGAGTCAAATTTATGAAAATTGAATCAAATAATTTAAGTTTTTATACAAATTTTATATAATTATTTATAATATTATGATAAAGATTGATTCTAATTTTTTGTTTTTCTCTAACCATATAAGATATGTATATATTTCTTTATATTTTTTTTCATTTGTATCAAAATCTAAAGTTGCAAAATATTTACAATATTTATTTAAATTTTTTTTGAGATTAAAGTATTAATGAGAATATAAAAAAGTCGTGAAATTTGTGTGAAGAAAGCATTTGCTAACAATTGTAATCAAAGACCAAATTTTAATGCAAAATTGAGGGACTAAATAAAAAGAGTATATTTTTCAATAAAAAAATAAGAATTGAAAGTACATAAGTATTTTATAGTGGTATAGGAGCATGTGATTAAAATTTGACAAAAAAATATATTTAAAATGAAGGATGAATTGAAGACATAAAAAAATCATAAAAATTTGAGGGACTAAATTGAAAAATAAAAAATTATCAAAATCAGAAATTGAAAGCACATATGTATTCTATGATGGTTTAGGAACATGTAGTTCAAATTTAATAAAAATGGACGAATTGACGGCATAAGGAAATCAAGGACTAAACCACAAAACTATCAAAATAATCAGCCAAATTCGATTTTTTGAGTAACTCGAAATTGAAAAAAAAAATCAAGTCGAATTGAATGCAATTGTCCCCGATTTTACTTCTACAAAAGTTACTATATGCTGCAAGAACCCTGAACTCTTTGCAATCTATTAATTGCAATAAATCATAATTGATGCTACGTAGTGTTTAACTAAAAGGTAATATACCATGGCATGTGGAAAACTGGGTCTAACTCGGTAAATTTAATTCTACAAATCCAGTTAATCATACAAATACGACCCAAGGGAAAGACATAGGCATCAACGCTTTTACCAATCGCAAAGAAAGACCGCAACCATCGCGGGGGGAAGATAAAAAGAGATGAAACTCACCAATCAGAATGATAATTTGAAACTAGTATTTATTTCGTTTCCCACTCCTTCAACTTCTTGCTTCCTTTTGGTTTCGCTATAGGTGCATTCACGGCTGCCATTTTCGCATTGTATTTTGCCCGAAGGGGATCGTTGTATGTCCATCTGCACAAAAGAAAAATAAACTCGAGATTTGTCAGGAACATAATTGTGTTTATATTCGGTGATCATATACAGAGGAGTAATATCAGCCATAGCAAACGGTTCAGAGTTCCTATCTTTGGGGTTCAAATCTACATCCTACTAAACTAAAATTTAAGGCCCTTTTTAGAGAATATGCTCTTCAAATAAAAGATCTAATATAAAAAAATAAGCAGGTTCATTGCCTACATCTACATACTTCCTCTAAAAAATCATTATCTTTTACTAATTCTACTACTAGAGGCATGTTTGATTTCGCTTCTGATGGTCCATGACAGAAACTATAAAAATTTACTCCAAGCATGTTCTCACTATCATCTTCTGAACTAGCACAGTTTGAGGCAAGAAGATCCATTAATATGGAGTACAAGAAATCCAACAGGTGCCAATTAATAACCTCCAACAGAATCATACAGTAACTAAATCAATTCGCAAAGAAAAAGAATCCATAATATGCTTCTAGGCTATTCTGTTAGACTCCCACTCAATAAATCCCAGAATAACTAGTAACAGATACAGTAACTAAATCACAATTCGCAAAGAAAAAGAATCCCATAATATGCTTCTAGGCTATTCTGTTAGACTCCCACTCAATAAATCCCAGAATAACTAGTAACAGATACAGTAACTAAATCACAATTCGCAAAGAAAAAGAATCCCATAATATGCTTCTAGGCTATTCTGTTAGACTCCCACTCAATAAATCCCAGAATAACTAGTAACAGATATGAATATGTAGACCCAAATAAACCAGCAAATATAATACAAGTTCCACGTAAGTTCCTTTGCTTTGCCTCAATAGAAAAAGCTTTAGTTAACAAAAGTTATCATCTTATCCTTCAAGCATTAAGTTATATTTATTGACATTGTTTAAACTAAGTGAGTTCTTCAGTTGATATAAAATGATTATGCAAATCCAATACATAAAAAAGGTAAATAATTAGAAAGTTAGAATCTAAGAGCTAAGAGCATAATTTCATAGAGATGAGCTTTATGGATAACTTACGGATTGTTCCAGTCAGTTGTGTCCTCGTTGACAAGATGAGTCCATTTGGTTCTACCACTACGACCGAAATGCTTCACCTGCATGACCTTGGGTAAGATAGTCTTGTCCATCTTGTCATCACCTGTTGGGGAAGAGAAATCGCGGTGATAAATATTGTGTGCTCCGGCAGTTGCAGCAGGATCATCGGCATCTGACTGGAAGAAAGCACCCTTGTGGTAGTACTTCTGCATAAACTTCCACTTCTGTTTTGGTGGTGGAGCAGGTTTCGGGTTCTTCCTCTCCCATTCTCGTCTCTCTTCATCTGTCATATTCCTTACCTTCTCTATCTCCTCCTCTCCTTTATCATTGCTTCCCTTTCGTCCCTATCTCTCTTAATCCTAGCAATCTCTCTTGCTTTCCAAGCTTCATATTCCTCAGCCTCGTTAACCTCGTCATCAGTATCCACATCTTCTATGTTCGCCTCCAATTCCATGTTTCTCTGAATCTCAGCATCCTCCCTAATCTTCTCAACCACAAGTTGCCTTGTCTCGATCTTCCGATGTTCCAACTTCCTCTTCTCCGCCTCCTCCATATCCCGTTCTTCAGCCTCCAACCGTTTACGCTCAGCTATAGTCTCTCTCTCGGATTTTGGCACAAAAACAGCCTTAGCCATTGCAATTCCCATATGTTCCTCTTCCGAATCCGTCTCATACTCCGACTCTTCCTCCTCTTCTTCCTCCACTTCCTCTTCCTCTTCCTCCTCCAACAACGGAGTTTCCTCTTGTTTCCTTTGAAGCAGCTTCTCCCTAATCCTTCGCCTTCTCTCCTCCAACGCATCCTCATCTTCATCCTCGGCATCCTCGTTCCTCCGAGACTCCTCCTCTTCCGTGGACACAATCTCGGCTTGCCTAATCCGTCTATGATCAGCCCTGATTTCATCTCTATTGTCAACCCTACTTTCAGCCAAACGACGTAACCTACGGTCATCTTTTAAAACGATACCCGGATCTTCGTGACTAGGAAAAGCTTTTTCTAAAGCAACGGACCTAGCCATCGTAATATCGCCATCTTCATCGGCGTCATCAGCCCACTCAGGAGCTTTCCCAGGCCAGTATCTTTTAACTTTGGTTTGTCCAATTTTCCCCCTAAGTTTATCCCGAATTGCTATTACAGTATCACTAACACCTGCCGTGACCGACATAGTTCCCCCCTTTTCTTTCTGGTTTTCCTACGTTTTCTGTGTAACCAAACAGCGAACTGTATATGAAAATAAGTAATCAACCAAATGAAAAAGGAAAACGCAAGGAATTATGATGCAAACGATTGATTAAAAATCGAAACCCTAAAACCTTATTACCTGAACGCAAGCTTTTCCGAAGAGGAAATGAGAAAACAGAAGGGAAAAAAATCTGAGGGTTAAAGGATTTTCACGTTAAAACTCCTTTATTTTTATTCTCCTGACTGCTCTCAACATATTTTGGACACTCAATTATCCTACCTCCCATTATTTTTGTATATGAAAATAAAATTTTATTGTTGTTTAAATTATATTTTAAAAAGATTTAATATAAAAATATCTGAATTATACGTTTTTTAATTAAGTGTTTAGTACGAAATTTCTATAAATGAATTGTTGATGTTATTTAAGAACTCGAAATGTAAGAATATGAGCGTTCAATGTCAAAAAATTAAAAAATTTCTTTAAACAGATATTAATTTATACTTACCTCATGTTAATAAAAAAAAGTAATTAAGTACCTAATTTCTTTTTTCGTCGATATAGGTGATTGATGTTATTAATGTAATCATTTTAAGAGTCTAATCTAATTATTAAAAAATATCTATTATCTGACACATATCGTGCTTATAAAATTTTAAAATTAAAATTATTTTTTAAAAAAATCTCAAATTTTTTCAAATCTTAAAAAACTCTCAAAATTTTAAAACTTCCAATTTCAAACACATTTAACTAAATTGATCGTTTTTATCATCAACAAACAATCACTCGATCACGATGAATTTCAACACATGATTTTAAACCACTCACGACAAGGAGAAAATTAAACACAACGCTTTAGTGTCCAACGAAAAACATAAAGGAAGAGGACAAAGAAGATACCGACGACAATGGAGATAATAAGGGGGAATAAAATTAAGGTTAAAGATCTTAGGGATTTGAGATTTTTTTAGATAATTTTAAAGAAATTAAATTTTATTTTAAAAGATATAATAATAATTTAAAGATTTTTTAAATGATTTTTTTGAAATTTTATAAACGCGACACGTGACATATAATATATTTTGTTAACGTTTGTTATAGTCGAAATACTTAAAATGATAACGTTGATAACATTAGACACCTACATTAATAGAAAAAAATTTAAACACCTAAATAGAAAAAGATATTACTTAGATATTTTTTATATTAAACCTTTCACAAAAAAAAAACAATTCTAAGAAAAGCATTTCGTAAAATAAATAACCTTAGTTAAAAACTTTATCATAACATAATATTTCTATTATAAAAAAATTATTATTGCGTAACTTTATTATTTTTTGTGTTCTAACTGAGTTGGGTATTATTTAATTTAAATAATAGTTAATATTATTATAATAATTTTTTTTAATTTTTTTCATAGTCTAAAACAATTATTATTTTATTTTGACAAATTCTAAATTTAATGTTAGAAATATAACAATCTGAGACGATAAAAATAAAAAGTAAAAGAGAAAAAACTTTGTAAGATAATCGAAAATAATATAGAAATAAATACACAATTGGAAATGAGTTGAGTCTTATAGCTACACAGTTTCCTTAAGATAAATTTTTTGCTCATTCTATGGTGTTTGAGATCGTTAGTCATTTGTCTCCCATGATACAATAATTAGATGATCAACTACAATTGCACTATTGTAGAAATCACAAACTTTTTTTTCCTTCGTCTATCATCAAAAAACTAGAAGAGAAGAAAATAATTTTTTTGAGTTATTTTCGTTTTGTTTAACCTAAAAGGTTTGCATAGTCTCTAAAGGTTTCACATAGTGAACTATAATAAATTTTTGGCCTAATGAAGCTTTTAATAATTGAGAATTAATAGTCATAACAAGCAATTTCTATAATTATTGTCTAGATTAAACGAACTTTTTAATATGTATCCTTTTAATTTTAAAACAAAATTTTAAAAAGATACGCTTTATTTGAGGAAAATATTTCAAATTTGTGTTAAAACATACGTAAGCCCACAGAGGACTCGATCGGTTCAAACATACACATTACCCACTTTGTGCACGTCTATACATTTAAAACCGGGCAATTGGTTCCATGTTTTCCTTAATAATATTTGGATCAATTTCTCATTCAAAGTTCCAAAACTATTGAATTTTTTCCAACAATCCCCCACATGAATGAAATTGATCATTTTATCAAAATCATTTTGACTCGATATGGTGATATATTTATACGATCAATAGTTGCATAGGATAGATAAGTTTTGTAATATACCAAATTGTGTCTAGTGACCAAAATGAAAATTTTGAAAGTTTTATGGCCAAAGTATAAACTTTGGAAAAGTTTAAGGACCAAAGTGGTAATTTTCTCAAAAAATAAATTTTATCTAGTAAATAAACAGTTTATTCCCAATAATTACATTTTCTTGTCATTCGGATTTTCCGTACGAATTTTGTATTAAAAACTATAAAGAGATAAAGTTCGAGAAAAATTTTGGATAATTGGATCGAATTGGATTTTTGATATATTTTGAATGATGATAGAGGAAGGTTAATAATTCCATTTCCATGTCTTAATAAGGAAGGATTTAACATGGACCATTTGATTTAAGTTGATTTTTCATGTTATATCGAGACACTTGGATTAAAATGGCAAGACTAAAATTTAGAAAATTACAAGGGCAAAGTTGAAAGTTAATAATGTGTTGGTTTATTTTTAACTTTTTGATGAATAAATTAACATGTGTAAAGTTATGGAACATGTGATTTCAAGAGCAAAATGGTCATTTGACATTAAAATGAATTTTTAATTCATTTTAATTATTTAAAGGACAAATGGCCTTAAATGAAAAGAAATGAAAATTCAAGAAATTTCTTCATTTTCCCTCCCATGGACGTGAGCTCCTCCTTAGGTAAGAAAAGATTTCTTTTCAATTTTCAAGCTAATTTATTAAGAATTGGATGAAAACACCTAATACAAAATTGTTCTACATGAAATTCTCTATCATTTGATACCATTTGTTCATGTTTCCATGCTTGAAACCTTGAATCCATGAGTTGGGTGGATGAAGGGGAGGTTAGTTTTATGTTTTAAGGTTGGATTATGATGTAGTTAATGCTGTTGATTTATTTCCATGCTTGTATTATGATTGAAAACAATTAGAAATGGTTAAATCAAGGTTTGACCATTTAGTGGTTTTATAGAAAATTAAAGTTTGAATTGAAATTGATATGAGATTGATTGTGATTGCTTGGAAATGATAATTAGAAGTTGAATTCATGATTGAATCAAGTTGGAAAACAAGGCCAAAGTGACTTTTGGTATTTGGCCTATAGGAAAATGTTGAGGAAAAATTATAGAAAAATTATACAAGGGTTAGAAATGACGAAGGAATGATTCTTCAAGTTTTAAAATATTGTTTAGACCAATTTGGAAGCTTGTAAAGATTAGGGAACCAAATTGCATAATGTTGAAAACATGGGTTTAAAGTGGAAATTGATTTGAAGTTGATATGTACTGTTTAAATGGATTGTTGATATGCTTGAATATGTTATTAGATGCTTGAAGTTGAAGTTGAAATGACAAGGGACCATTTTGAATAAATTGAAAACATTGAGATAAATTCTAAAATAATTCATTTTAGTGATTAAATTGTGGAATTAGAAATGGTTATGTGATATATTCTTTGAATTGGATAATGGGAGAATTGAAATTGTATTTGGAAGTGTTAAGATTGACTTTGATGTTATGAAGTAGAATTAGTATCGAATAAGTATCGAAAATTTTTAAGAATTTATTTCCTATTGTGCGCCTATGTTAGTAAAGTACTAACATGTACTTTGAAATGTATATGTTTTGTAAATGATATTCATATAGATTGTGATCAAAATCGAGAATAAAACAAGCCAAAAGATAAAGAAAAAGTGCAAAAGTGAGGTTTATATAGTTAAATAAAGTGTGCAAGCTAAGTATACTAGGTGAGTGCATTCTTACCTATATGATTACATATGATATGAGGAAGACTTGCGATGAGTCAACCTTGAATTATTTGAAGAAAAAAAAGATTTTTGAATCCTATTTTGATATATTTTATACTGTTTAATCAAATGGTATATGATTTTGATAAAAGCCCAGTGTATGTGCATTGAAAGTTATTGATAAAATTGACATGTCATGAGGTGGAGTGATTATTGATTATAAAACTGGTACATTCGTGTACATTTTACTGGCATTATATGTACATTATGGGTTTAACGATATTTTGACTTTGTGAGATACCATACATGATTAGTGAATACTGGTACAGTGATGTTGTGTTCTACAGTACCTATACGTCTGACTTGCACTAAAAGTGCAATATGTTACTGGCAGTAAAACTACATATTGCACACACTCGCCTGACTCGCGTACCATGCATTCTCATTTATCATACATTGGGTTATGATTACATGAAATTGAAAAATACAAGTTGATTGGTTCAATGGAAAATAAATCTTTCATTGACTCTTTTGATTTGGTTACATGTGATATATATGATCTATTGTTTTACATGTTATTTGATGAGAAAAGACTTTGAAAAGTCTATTTTACATATTCATACATTATCATATGATACTTACAATATTATGATTTATACAATATTTTATATTTCTATATGCCTTACTTTATTTATGTTAATGCCTCACTAAGTGTATATTTATCGTGTGATGATTTCATACGTAGGTAAAGGAAAGCAAGTGGAATAAAGAGCTTAGCTTGTCATTAACTATCGAGGACTACCTACCGGTATCAGTAATGACATCCTACTATTGTTTTAATTTTTTAGTTGGCATGTATACGTATATAAGTGTTAGTAATATTTTTATAAGACTAGATTTAATTGGGTCATAAATGTTCTGATATGTCTATGAAGTTAAATGGTTTATAATAGTTTATATGCGTGAATCTAGTAATTAAAAATGGTTATAATCATAGATTTTAGTCTTATATTTTAATAGTACAAAGATGAATTTCTATTTAGATAGTTTTTAGGCAGTTCCACTTAGAATATGATACATTATTGAACTGCCATGTTGTTGCCTGAAATCAAATTTGAGTT